CTCTTTACTAATCAAAGAAAGAGATCTTTACTTAAACCTATTTATTCTGTTTGTATTATTATTTGAAATTCTGTTGTTGAAAGTTTTTTTTTAATTAACTATAAATTTATCTTCTTTTCTATCTTTTTCTTAAGTATAATTTACAAATTCTCAATGAGATTGATATCTGATGAATAAGAAGGCCAATCAAGAATTTGAAAATCATAATAATAAAAAAGATTAATTATTGTATCTGCATTATGAATTGGAGAATTATATTGAAAATATAATTTATAATCTGCTATAGAAATATGATGAAAAAGATTTATTTCAAGAATTTCTTGATATTTTTTAGTGTTAAAGTTTTTAGTAAACAAGACAAGTATAATTGATTCTTGCATACTAAAAGTATCTCAAGCATAAATCTTATAGGAATACTTCACTATACTTTTATATGGACATGATATTTTATGATAGTATCTTATTAGCTAAGTATTTCTGAATATTTGGAGGATTATTTCACCAGAAAAAATCATATAAGATCAATTTTGACAGATATATTTTTATATCTATTCAAGATGAGTTATAATATAATAGAACTATAAAAAGAAGGATTCATAGTGGATGACAAATATTAAATTAAAGATTTTTTTAAGATATATTAAATTATATGAATAGAAACTTTCAAGTTAGAATCTTTTAATTTAAGTCTTTTAGTTATTTTAGCTATAGTGATGACATTATTGATCTGTACCAATTAGTCAAGAATGTGATATTGCTCAACTATGAGAATTGAAGATCTTTCAGATCTGAAAAGTGATATAATACTTGATTATTTTTTAATTTGATTAATTATATCATATACTATAGATTTAGAAAAATCTGTTATTTATATAATTTCTACAGGTTTTCAGATATTATTTGTCTAAAGCTAACTTACCACTATTCTTTATGCTTTATGCTTGGAAATAGATGGCATTTTTTTTTATTTTTTTGTTAACAGATGCAAAACCTGACAACAAAAATATTTATATTATTGTATTTATTACTAAACAAAGTAATTCCAATTTTATACATGTATTAGTTTAAAATTAGTAATATTATATGATGCTTTGTGTATTAGATTAATATTCTGAATATTTATATCAATCACTATATATATTTTAATATTTAAAAATTAAAAAAATAAAATAAATTAATAAAAATCTTAGTAATATTCTTGAATTAAAGTTAAAAAAAATTTTTAAAAAAAAATTTAATATATTATTTTATATATTACTTTTTAGTAAGTTTATTTATTAAATTATAAAGAATCTTTATATAAAATTAATAAAATTTTCATTATATAATAAAGAAAATTATTATAAAAGTTATTTTTTATATGATATTTTATAGAACTTTTTTATATAAAATATATATATAAATATTTTTTTAAATCAATTTTTTTAATTTAAAATATAATCTAAAAAAATAATATTAATATTTTTTAATAAATATTTTAAGTAAATTTTTTATAAATATTAAAGTGTATATATATTAATTTTCATGTAAATTCAATTAGTTATTACTGAATAATTGCTTTTTAAATTTGTTCAAAGACTTTTTTCACATACTATAACTATCACTATTATTTGCTATTAAAATTATTTTTGAAAAATATTTAATTTGCTTGATCTTTAATAATCTAATCAAAGTTTATTTATAAAAAATATTATTAAATAATCTTAAAAACAATAAATCAAATATTTTTACTTTCTTATATTATTTTAAAATGAAAAATTATTATTAAAATAATTTATAAAAATATATATAGTTATTATTATCTAACTATATAAAATATAATAAACTTTATTGTAAAAAATATTTATAAATAAAATATACACTTTGATATAAAGAAAAAAATTATAACTTTTATTATATTTATTAATAGATTTAACTTTCTAGTTTTCACAATTCTTTATAGTTAAAAGCAATATTATAAATTTATGAAATAAATTTCTCTTATATCAACCAAATACAAAAATATGTAAACTTTAATAAGTCAAAGAAATTATTTTGCTTTATTATAATTAAATCTTATTTAATATAAAATATCAATGGAGAGTACATACAATTAATCATATTAATAGAATTTTATTAAATCAAAATCTTTCTATACTATTACATACATGTTTTAAAAACTCTTTATAAATCAATAGAATAAATTATTAACTTTCAGTGTAAATACAAGTTCGATATTAGGTGCGCAAAGCTCACCTAATTTCCAAATTTAAGGTGCGCAAGCCGCACAAATTTCTGGGTATAATGTGCGTCTTTATTATTTATCAATTTATTGGATTTTGTAATTTTTATAATGTGCAATATATAAATGAATTTATTAATATAGCTCATAATTCTCGCATATTTGTATTTTTATGCAAAAAAATTTTCACGCGCGGAGCGCAGATGTGTGCATTCTATTTTCTCGAATTTTTAATAATAACGATAATAAATTTGGTTCTCATAAACATCAAAAAATTCCCACCATGTACTTTGATATAAACATTCCTAAAATTAAAGTTGGAGATATAATTCGTTTTCGAAGACTATCTATTTATAAACTTCTATAATGGGACGCATTTACTAATTTTCACCTAGGTTTCAATTGACCATACCAATAAGAATACGCGATTTTTTCCCAGCAATCAATAAAGAATGCATAATGGGAAACCTTGCTGTACTAAATGCTGCAGTATCTGAAATTTTATTCATTTTGCGTTGTTATCAAAACTATGTAATGCAAAATACGTTTTCTGTGCCTTTTTTTCAAGTTTGAAGTTCTAATAAATTTTTTCCAAACCGGGCCAAAATGTATATAAGGGCTCTAAAAAATTAATTTTGAAAATTTTTCATTCTGATAAGTAAAGATGACTATGTCTATTGCTCTTCTAATTTTTGTTTTATTTGCAATTTTCGCAATTGCAACTGGTACACTTTTACATGTACTATAAGTTAGCTGTCTTCAATCTTTATAATTTATTTTATGTTTATTTAATAGGCGCTCCATCCAATCAAAAGCGCTCTGCTGTCTGTAATATGTTGTGTAGGGTCGGATATAGATGCGATACATCAGGACCGACTGCTCAATGTGTTCCAACAAGCAGCAGTAATTATTGTTATTTCTATATTTGTAAGGTAAACTGTATTTATCGTATGTAATAACGACAATTGTTTAAATTTAGCTGGAAATGGAGGCGGGAACGGATCCGTCGGTGGGTATCCCGTTAGATATCCTAGTAGGCATAATTCCGGTGGTCCTTAAACCTGATAACTGAAATTGAAATTGATCCGATTAATCTAATATTAAAAACGAGCTATTTTCATTATACATGTATGTGACTAAAGCATTTCGTTTTATAATCAGGTTTAAAGCAAATTTTTGTATTCTTTATCATCTCAACTATTCATTTGCTTTAATCGTTTTTTATTGCAAGGAATAAACAATTGCATTTGAAAATATTAATTTTATTACTTTGCCAAAAATTTTGAACAACACGTTATAACGATAATAAAGTTTTTACAATTTATCTCTTAATTCTAGCATTAACATTAGGGAATTGATTCTCAAACTGGAAATAGAATCAAGCTTTCTATTAAATTTATTAGATTCTTAGTAACACAGCGCCAGAAGATATGAATAAGAAAATTTATACTTATAAATTTTTAATACAAGAATCAGTATACAATTCGAATGTTTCTATCTCAACACTAATATACCAGTGGTATTTAGTCGACAGATATTTCTGGTATCCAATATTTACGATGCATAAAATAGACAGCGATTGAGGATTGAGGAATGAAAAATCACATAAATGACATTATTTATATAACCAGTTATAACATTGTTTTCTCTTTATTGAATCAAAATATAAAATTTTTCATTTTACTAACGTTTGCTTATTTATATTCATTAGTTGCTAAAAGTTGGCTTCACTTGAATAATACCGTTACGGATGATTATTCAATAGTAATGGATTGTGCAAACGTGCGTCTCCGTAAATATGCATGTTCCTGATTGTCAAGATGATGATACTGCGATGAGAGTTTAGTTCACAATACTCATGATTGTAATGAATGTTATTTGTGTCAATAAAATAAGTACTCGATGCTTGTTTCAAAATATTACGAACGAATTCATAAATTCATAACGATAAATTGTCTACCGGAAATAAAGATACTAATAAAAGAATCAACAAAATTATATATAATATATTTGAATGCATTATTTTTTAAAAGATTTACAACGTTGAATAAGGTTTTGGGTCAAATTTATAAAGCAAACATATTCAGTTTCACATACTCAAAAAAAAGTAAGGGTAGGAACAAACTTCATCCTTTACATTTCGCATGTGTTTTATTACATTTTTGAGTATATTTCGGAATTTTGGTAAGTAGGAATTTTGGGTGTTAAGGATTTGGGTATTCGGGATGTTGAACATTCGGGATTTTGGCATTCGGGATGTTGAGATTTCGGGATTTTCCGATCCCGTTTCAAATACATGCAATAACCCACTGCTGCATCAGAAATGTTTAATTCTGCTACTCACTTTCTGATATATAATACATAAAAAGATCAAACTTATAAAATTGTGAGATTCTTTGTTCCGCAAATTAAATAATCGGGATGAGCATTACTATGATGATGATGCTATGATAATAAATAATAATTGACTATTTTTTTCTTTCAGTAAACCAATCAAATCACAAGATATGAGTAATTCCATGTATGATCTCTTTAAGGCTCAATATCTCGAAACCCAATGACAGGAATTGAATATAAAATTACCAGAACCTAAGGAATTGAATGGTATGTCTTACACTCAATTCCTAACATTGAGTCTCAAGATATTGAGTCAGCAAACCTATTTTGAAAAAATTCAAATAATAATTGTGCTAGTGTTGGAAGACGTCAAATTTCAATTTTGCGCGTGCAAAATAGTTAAAAGCAACATAGAGACCGAGAATGATGAATGCTCCAGATTTTAATTGGGTTCAGAAAGGCGAACGCAATTGTTAAAAGTCGAAGCAGGTAGAGAAAGTAGTTTATCACCATCAACAGCGACGTTGGATGTCTTGCGCTCCATTTCTACAACTCTTGTATGATACTGGTGGGCTTCCACGAGCATTGCAATATGTTCTTCAACAATGTTTTAGAAAACGAGTAGATTTCTTTAAAACACTCCTGGGCAGAGATTTTACTTTCAATTGATGATATATTCACACGGTCATTAACACGCTTGAGAACAAGTAAATTTGTTATGAAAACCACAACATTAATAGTCAGCTCTTGTATCATTGCATCAAAGCTATTCCAGTTCAACTGGATGAAAAGTCTCCAGAATTGACAGTGGAGAAGATGGAGCGCGATGCACATTTGGTTCCTGAAGTCTTATGCTAGGCATGTGCTGTATAATATCATATTGTTGTCGTTATACTGTTTTTCAAATCAATTTCCACGAGCAATGTGTTATTTTTTATAATGGTAATTTATTTATGGTAGTAAATGCTTTCCACTAGATTTTTCTATTCGTTATTACGTATATTATCATGTATCTATATTTTTTAAATAGAACGGAGAATTTCTTATTGCATATATTATAAATGAAAAAATTTTTTATTCTTCAAAAAATCAAAGAATGTACATTTTGTTTATTACATATCTTACCTTCAAATCATCGAAAACAGCAAAAAGTGTGACATGAAGGTCAAATTTTCTATAATTCACAGTAACTGCGATCGGGAAAACATGCGATCATATGGAGGATGTGATTGTATAGATAGAGGTACGATTATATAATTGGTTGCTTATGAAACGAGAAAGTCAAAAAATCATGAGTGTTAAAATTAAAATTAATGTTTATTGATATACTCATGTGCTTGTATCATCATCCACAATTGTACACATTTTCAATAAAATCGTCTGCATATTTCAGCACAATCGCTACGTTTTTCAGTAAATTGCTCGCGACGTCTTTTAGTCGTATTTTATTGTTTTACAGTTGTTGCGTTTTATCAATGTAACAAAACGATCATATAAAGTAGTTTTTCTTTTAAAAATAGAAAAAACTAACAAAATATACATATATAAGGAATGGCTTTCAGCTTTAATAACGGCAGAAATAAACTTGCGTACAGAATTTTTCTCCAAATGGTAAAAAACACTTTAAAAGACATCGTAATTATAATCATAATAGATAGGTTAGGTTCTTTATGCCAGAAAAGGCAAACGCATTGCATTCTTTGGAATGCATACACGGAATGATATCGGCCAGTAATTAGATCAAACAAGTGTAATAGTTCAGCCCCTCTTTCTCAGCTCTGGTCATGGACAAAATCCGCCAAAACCACCCATTAATTCTTGCCCTGTGACAGTAGCTGGATTCGTCACCACATAATCAAAATATTTTTGATTAACTCGCCAACTTTCAATATTATGATTAAATGTAATCTGACTTTTCATGAAACGCCTAACGAATAATGAAATTACTTTTTGTGGATGGAACATTAAAGCTGCTAATCCAGATTTTGGAAAAATTCACCGTGGATTTTAGCTAAATAGTAAATCCATTTGTTACTGGATTTTGATAGATTACCGATAATTAGTAATGTAAATGGACTGGAAGAGTATTATCACGGGTATAGTATGTATAATAGAGAAATGAGATGTGCAATCAGAGGGGCAAACAAAGTAACTAAATTAATTCTTAAATTGCAATTATTCCAAACCTCAAAAATAGGTTTATTTCAAAACGACAAAACAAAATAAAGTGGATCTCAATATCCAGGGCAAGTAAAGAATAATTTGATTCTCCAAAATGAACTTGGCCAAAGCAGCTATGCCTTCAATTGCTAAGACAAAAGAATTAAAGCTAAAGGCACAAAAGATATAAAATCTGATGCTATGTTAGATAAGAGTAATTTATTTATTTTTCTTCAAAAAATACAAGACTTGTCTCTCCATTTGCGAGAGCTCTTCTTTTATACATTTTTGCTGTGTTTTACTAACTATTTGCTATTCTATAGGTCTAAACTATGGCATGTAGCGGGTAGTAAATGTCAGACCAACTTATGCAAATCATCTACGTATCATTTGGCCAAAATAACGCCCATCTGCGCGTTGTTTCGAGTACCTGCGCGTTATTTCCACCTGGCGTAGCGTCTTTTATCATCCTACACATTCTAAAATGGTCGGTTAGAATGCAAGACGGAACCCAATTAACGACAAATTTGGGTATATGTTTATGTGGATATCATTTGTCTGATGACTCAGCGTAAACATAAAAATTTACCCATGATTTGTCAGATGGTCGGATAGACATGTTTTTGCTATTGCTACAACACCATTAGCCGATGAATCGGTGATCGGAGAGAATTTTTTAATAAACAGAAATTTCACAAAACTGCGAATTAAAAACGTTAACAAGGTCGACTGTCGGCTGTATAGACAACGAGGATGTATGAATTAAAAAAACTATAGTCAATAGCATATGTAATAATTTTTTCAATCAATTCAATTCAACACAAGGTACATACCTTCTATTTCAAATATAAATCATACATTCGTTCCAGACGAGGATAAATTTACTATTTGATATATTTTATTAATTTCTTTAATCCATTATTGTTATTCTTTGGAACTTTTTAGAGATATAAAATGCCTTGTAAGAAAAAACTATAAATTCATGAGAACCAAAATAATAAAATAAATCATAGATGTAATATTGTGCATGTACATGTTCTATGTTTTAACGTTAAGGGAAAACACAACTATCAAAATTTGTTAATGTATTATGCACTTCACTTACCATATATTACATGTAAAATGTATGATCTACAATACACGCGATTAACTGATTAGGTGGAAGTTTAAAGAGCTCTTGTTTTTTGAATATTTCGACAATATTGCATTCTCCGTTACCCATTTGTATATACACTTTAAAATTTCGTGTCTTATTGTGATTGAACAATAACGAACAACTTTTTTAAGTTCAATTTTAACGATGTTATTACATGTATATTGCTATATACCGGAACGCCCTAAATTTTTATCACCTTTCTGGACATAATGGCGTTTATTGACCCGATTCGGGCATACATATGACCAAAAATTACCAGCAGGTCAATATCGATTGATTTAATCGTGCATACAGAATACTTTTAAGATTAAAAGGTCTAGAGCTGAGAAAGAGAAGTTTTGGAAATGAACAACAATTCTCGCAAATAATAACAAAAGACATTACGTATCTTAATAAAACTTTTTTTCCAAAATATATTATCGCCGAACATTGATGATCTACGCGCGTGTTTCTTGATTTGAAAGAACATGATCAAAAAAAATAAAACTTTAATCTACATTGGAGAAAAAAAAATGAAATAAATTCAAATAGAGTAAATCAGCATTAAGCAAGCTGCCATAAGTAAATTGTATTATAAAAAGTGATCAAATTACCTTAGAGAATCTTCAGGTAAGTTTTTGCACAGATTTTTTATTATCAATATCATGAAATGGCTCAGAATGTCTTTTTTAGTTTCTATATATACATTTTTTTCTTGATGGTTATGAGTTATGGTCTCGCAGACAATGGTAAATTTTTGTTTTTTCTGTTTCTTTTGTACTTGGCAAGAGATCATTATACTCCTACCAGGTGATGTCAAATTTTTCTTGCAACTTGCTTGGCACTCATAAAAATCACTATTTTTATCCTTGTCAAAGATGGTACGACAGGTATCATATTTACACCTAAAAAAATTTCGCCTAATGTATGTTTAAAGCAAAAGAAGAAAATAATAAAAAAATTTAGGGTCAACAATAACAAAAAATGGGAAAACGCGATGCATATATTTACCTATGTTGTTACACATGCAAATTTGGCGTGGCGACTGTACATGTTCATGTATGTAATTTAGATGCATGTACATGCACATGACTAAAAATAGCGATACTGAAAAGGATTTATTGTACATTTTAATTACATGTATACATCATTTATCATAACAAATGGAAACTACAATTAATGATTTACTAATTGTCTTTGACAATATCGTCAAAAAAAATGAAAATTTTGATATAAATTTAACAAAACTTTCTACAATTATTTTGGAAACACCCTTGGATAAAATAAATTTTTTACAAAGTTTACAAGATAATATACAATATTCAACAATTCTAGGCTTCATTTATCATATGGGTTTGACCACTGAAAAAAATTATGATCAAGCTTTACAATACTATCAACAAATGGCGACTCAAGGAGATTTTATAGCACAATATTTCATTGGAGAATTATACAACATTGAAACTTGGATGAAAAATGATAAACAAAAAGCATTCGAATGGTATTTAAAATCAGCAGAGTCTGGATTTTCTAAAGCACAGTATAACCTTGCTCTTTGTTATGCAAATGGAGAAGGAACAATCAAAGATGAAAAAAAAGCATTCGAATGGTATTTAAAATCAGC